GAAGCCTGCTTCTCCCTCTCTCACTCCCCCTGCTTGTGTTCCCTCTCTCACTGTGTCTCTCTCTGTCAAATAAATAAATAAAATCTTTAAAAAAAAAACCTAATTATTAAATGGATTTTACAAAACATCTATGGTTCTTAAAAGACGTATTGGTGGCAGTGAGATGAATTAGAGGTTATTAATATTCAGGCAAGTGGCAATGAGGACTCAAAGTAGTGGTAAAAGAAATGAAGTCAGTTCTAGATAAATTATAGAGCTGGCATTGACAGGAATTGTCACATGGTAAGCTTTCAGGAATTAGATACTTGTTAGAAGCAAGTCAGGCAATGGCTATTTCTAGATAATTGCTTAATGCCATGCTAAATATTGCCCAAGGGTTCCCAACTTCCAGTGGGTTGTTCATACCATCTTGCTCTTTCCCCATGATTAACTTCCCCCATCTTGTCCACCCTTTAAGATTGAGATTGAGCTTATATCCTATCTTCAGAAGTCCTCTTCAGGTGCTTTCCAAGTGGGAGTAATGCTCAACTCTTTGAATACAGTCTTTATCTCATTTTTTATAATTATTATTTACTACCTAATATTTGTCTTTCTTGTGCATCTTCTTTAGATATTGCCTTATCTGTAATTAAATGGGTCATTTTGAGTTTTTATCTTCAATAGATGAAGACATAATCCAATATCAAGTTAGATAATCTGCTTTCTTTATAACTTCAGGTTAAAACCAAAAAAGACCCTGTATTTATCTACGTTCTTAGAAAACAGCTCTTTTTGTGGTCTCTAAATTTAGATTTGCATTAATAATGTTTTGGGGGGAAAATGATCACAGCACAGCACAAAGGCTAACATTTATAAGACCGTGCTTAGACTTCTGCAGCCTCATTCTCGTCACTGTATGATTTTACTTCAGTTTTTTATGGTTTACTGGTATGTCCTTGGATTGTGAAACACAAAGGACTGATCTTTCTGTTCTTTGAGAGACTGACATCTTAAATGGTGAAACTGTTTGCATAATGTTCCAGAATTCATTGAAGTTTGCAGCACAGCCATGAGAATGGTTATACTCTATAAATCAGGGTCCTAGAAAGCAGTGCTTATGTGAGGCTTTCGTTAATCCCCCAAATTAGACCATTCCAAGAAGCTTTTCCACAGCATGCTGCAGCTAGTGTTTATATGTGACTAGCATCTCAATTCGCTCTTAAATAGAATTTACCTTCATGAGTATATTTCCATGACTCTTAATATATTGAAGACCTATTTAAAGGGTTTATTTATGGTTGCATATGTAATTTTCTTTGAGTAGTTTTCTTTTTTCCAGAGTAATACTACTGTTTCAAAATCTGATCAGAGATGCCAAAAATCCTTTTTAGAATGTAAACAGTTAAACTTGTCAGAATCAAATCATACAACAATAAACATCAACAACAACTACGTCGCTTCAAATATTTGGTAATATTTTTGAGCTCAGTCCAGTAAGGGAAGCGGTTGGATAATAGCAAGACACAGCATTTTAGAAAATTTTCTTATCATTATTATAAACATCATTGTGATTATATCATCAAATCCCTAACATTTATTGTTTTTACTATGTGCAGTGTACTAGGCACTCTACACACTTTATGTCATTTAGTTCTTTTTAAAAAGGCACATTATTAGGTTTATAGTTACCCACATTTTGCAGGGGAGTATCTCTCGAAAGTCAGGAAGGTTACTTGTCCATGATCACCAAGCTAGTAAGAACCAGAGCCATGACTCCAGAGCTTTTGCGTGCTCTGTGAGATATAAGCAAGACTACATTCTACATGAAGGCCAGAGCTCTGGTTTGCTTCTCACTTTCACACCTGTGCATAGCATAATGCCTGGCACCTAGTGGATGATGTATAATAAGTATTTTTTAGATAAATTTGCTTCTCATAGAATAATAACAATGGCAGAACCCTCCAGCAAGGCTAGGCCTCGTCCTTGTAGTTTGGGTGAATATATTCCAGGAATCCCATATTAGAACACATTGGAACTCATCAGTTGGATGCATTTTCACAGAGAAACATTGTATGTGGCAAGAAGATTCAAGACTGAATTCTTGCAGTTACATGGGTCCTTCTACACTGATCTGACAATTCGACTGCCACTGGATGGCGTGGCTTCCATAGACTTTTTAGACAGTTTTCAAGTGGACTTTGGGGAATAAAGCTCGGTAGGTAAGCTGGAAGTTGTGGCCATGAAAGGGACATCATCATGTCCCTTGGGACATTTCCCTTGGGAACTCAAAATCACCATTAAGAGTATTGGCTATAGTTTTTAGGACCTCAGTGTACAAAAAATGAGAAAAGTTGAGCTTTTCTAGGGCTGGAAAGATGGAGGACCCTGAATGCCCCAGCTTTTCTGTTCCTTTCTTTCTGCCTCCCCCTTACCTCTTACAGCAGCTTCTTAAAAGTGATTTGAGAAGCCTTAGGATGATAATCCCTTCCACAGGCTTAGAAAAGTTCAGTGACGTCCTGCAGTCGCACAGCTATTCCAATCACAGTTTGTGGCAGGGGACTAGATTTGACTCCCCATGTCTAGAACTTTCCAGCTTTCCAGCTCTATTATACATTCTTTCAAGCACTGTTTAAATCGGATAATTAAATCTTTATGTAACAACTTTATTGTTTTATCTGAATAACTTTACATCTTCACAACCTTATGAGTAGGAAGGACAGTATCTTTTTACTCTTCCTGTCTTGGAGATCAAGACTTAGAGCCATGTCACACAGCTAACAAGTTGCAGAACCAGGACGCAAAACTGGATTTTCTTAGCATGAGATCCGGAGTTGGGCTCACTTTAAGTGAACTGTGCAGCCAGACTAGAAGCCAGCTGGAGCCAAGCAAGCCTCTTGGTTGTGTGATGGTCAAGTGGGATGGGTGGGCCACTTGGGAAAGGAGGAGGTTTAAGCTCTCAATGGAGGGAACGCATAGTGGGTAAAGTAAGGGGGTAGGTTTTGTGAACTAGCTGCAATGAGTGTACAACGTGTGAATTTTACTGAGCTGGCAAGGTGGAAAGGAGCACTTCCTTGGACCTGGGTTTGAGTCTTTCTCATTACTCACTAGATGTGTAACCCTAGGTAATTCAGCTGGATCTTTCTGAGCCTTGGTAGCCTTATCTGTAAAGCGAGGATAATAATATTAATCTAGGGAACCCTGCTCTGACTGCCCAAAAGCTTTCTTTGCTTGTTTCCTTCTGGGTTCTTCTGTGTCAATATTTTTAGCGGCTACATAGCTGAATCATGACCTGGTTACATATGTTGCAATACTGAATGCTGAAACCCTGGAAGCACTACTGGAAGGGCAACAGAGAAACAGACACCAGCTGCCAGGGACTGAAGAGAACATTTATTACTCTTGTGACAGATTTGATCCCCAGCCCATCTCCAGTCTGGTTCTCACTTTCTGTTTTGGTGGTTATCTTTGAAATAGTAAGTAGTGAATTGTTCCATTGTTAATTAATGCTTTTATTTTTTCTAGTTGTATAAATTTGGAGAGACGGTTTCTATTGTGTTTTGGACAGACACTTGGAGACCAGAAAGCTTCTTTGACAAAGTGAAGAAGAACAGACAAAATGGCATGCACACATTATGCTTACTAGGTAAGGGTTTGGGAATTGCCTTGAAGTCACAATATGGAGTTGTCATATTCTCATTTTGTTCTGCAGATAACTAGCTAGAGGTAAGAAAGGACCCAGTCCAGCCACTCTGCACGCTACATGCTTTCCCATGCTCTCTGAGAGATACACATTTTCTGCTCCAAACACCACATGGGTATTCATGCATACCGTAGTGCATGCTCCTCCCCTCTTATGTCCTAATGGATCCTCTCCAGCATTCTGTATCTTACCCATTTATCCATCAGGACACTGTTGTCAGTTTACTGCAGTTCAGTAGACCTGTAGTAAGCATTCATTTTTACCAAGCACCATCCTGTATCTTCCTAGAGATGTTTGAATACTACAGTATTGATGCTATCAGAATTACAGATCTGAAAGAAACTTTGGAGATCATCTTATTGAAGCCCATTTTATAGATGAAGTTGAGGCCCAGAGATATTAAATCATTTGCCCACTGTGTTACCCAGTTTTATCAGTGGCAGAATTGGTAGAATCGAGATAACCTGTCATTCAGTTTTTTACTGTATCTTGCTGTACTTTATGTCCTTTGTAGAGTTAGGTTTTTTTGGAATACTAAGGAAATACTAGACATGGGTCCTGCCCTCAGGGTTTTGAAATGTAGTTGCTACGTACACTAAAGTTTAAAGAACAATTAAATTCTGTTATATGGAGAGGCAGGAAGGACAAACCAGAACTTCGGCTCTTGAATTCTCTAAGAGCTGCCCCTTTTCTTGGCTTTCCTGGGAAAAGGCAAACAAGGTTAAACAATATATCTTCCTTGCTCCATGAACAAAAGCAGGAACAACGTGTGAAGTGTAAGATATCATGATTCCAGATCCTCAAACCATAGATCTCGTCATTTAATCATCTGGAATTCTCATCATTTAAATTAGTATATATTTATTGGTTGCCTATTACGGTCCAGACCCTGTAGGGATTAATGAGAATATACCATGTTAGGAAACTACAGAGAATTTAAAATGTACTTGGAAAGACAAGATACATATGATACAATTAGAGATTAACAAAATATAGTAATAACTATATACATATCTCAAAGAACAAGGAGCTTTTGAGGGGAAGTTAATGAAGGTTTTATGAAGGAGTTGGGACATATGCTACTGAAGGGGTACTTTAAGATGGGCTGGTGGGTGGGTGGTAGTAGAGCCACATGAATAAATTTATTCAGTAGACATTTATGGAGTATCTACTGGGTATTTTGCATTATTCTAGCTGCTCCTAAGGTGAATAGGAGATGCTTATCTTCTAGCAAGTAGAAGTAGAAAGGGAATCTTGTGGCCTGTGTGAAGACGAGGGAAAAATGTTAAGACTGGTCTGGCTTGATTTTTAAATGCGGTTCATTGAAAAAGCATTTATCTGTAAAAATTCTCCCCAACACTCTTCATTTTTAAAACCAGGTTCTGTAGAACATATCATTTAAAAAGTTAAAATATTGAACTAAAAACTTTATCACAACGTTTCAGAAGCTCAAGGTGACTAATAAATGTGTTGAATTTTAAAAAATCTTAATAGATACCATGTAAAGGAAGTCTTAAGTTGACATATACCTAATTGTACTACAGACCATTTTCAATAACCAATATGCATTTTTTCTTCTATGTGCTAGACAAGTAGAAATATTAAATAATTGATATTTTGAACCTGAAAAGTACATTCACGCTGGTTCCAAGAACATTTACAAATACTTAGAAGGGATTAACCTCTGCTGCATTTTCCTAGGAAACTCTTTTAGTCTCCTTTATAAGAAAAACTTTGATAATCACTTAGGAAAGCTGTAGAAGTCTTTGAGAAAGACCCTACAGTTGCACTGTATTTATTTTTGCAAAAGCAAACTTTGGCTGAACCGTTTGTTTTTAGCATGTAGAACAGGAAGCAGCTGTTGCTCTTGCTGTTGTATACTGAGTTCCTGTGAGGATGTAGAGCGCCTGTGCTTTTTTACCTTTTACCAGATTGTTCGGCTGAGCATCAGTGATTAACAAGTGTAAAGAATCAAATATTTGTTACGCTTGCATTCCAAGCTTCAGGGGAGCAGAGATTATGTGCATTCTGGCCCCTGTGGTAGCTCCGTCCCTGGCATTCAGTGCTTGGGAAAGCCCTTTCATTGAAAGTATGAATGATATTAAAGTGCTTATTTATAAGTTATTAGTCCTGTCTTAGCCATTTGCGAGAAAGCAAAGGTTTCTTTTCAAAATGTGGTGAGAATTTTCTTACTACGTTACATGCATTAAAGCTTACATCCTAGTGCCTGAAAAATAGGTAAAGAATAGGAACATAACAAGACTTCTCAGTTGAGTCTGTGTGGTTACCAGCCAGTAGAAATGAACACAATGATTTTGATGACCTGTTAGGTAGTGTATATGCCAATATTTATCAGACTCTTTCCTGTGTCTTCTTTTCCAAGAGGAAATTGGATCCTTTCAGGATGGTCTCAGGGCCAACCTCATGTTTGTTTTCTAATGATCTTTACACAACACAAGCTTCCATTCTTCTCTATATTTCCATAAAAAAGTGGCTAGATACAAGTATGAGGGAAGATTGTCATAAGCTCTCAAATGAGCATTTGGGAGACTTGAGAAGAATGTTTCCCAAAAATTTAGGTGACTCAACTGAAGTTTACACACAGGGTTTTGGATAGTTAGTTAAAAGAGAACTATTTTTTGCTTCCTACAGACATCAAAGTAAAGGAGCAATCTTTGGAAAATCTAATCAAGTAAGTTCTTATTCTGAGAATGTTTACATCTATTTTTAATTCCTTGAACAATAAATTCTACTTAAACGACATGAGTTCTAAAGATTGTTGAAAATCAGCTTTCAGGGACGCCTGGGTGTCTCAGTCTGTTAGGTGTCTGCCTTAGGCTCAGGTCATGACCCCAGAGTCCTGGAATCGAGTTCCGCATCGGTCACCTTGCTCAGTGAGGATCCTGCTTCTCCCTCTGCCTGCCGCTCCCCCTGCTTGTGCTCTGTCTCTCTCGCTCTCTGACAAATAAATAAAATCTTTTAAAAAAAATCAGCTTTCATTAACAGTTAAAAATTTAAACAATCTTATGAAATGAGAAAGCACTGTGATAGGGCAGAAATAGCAGTAGATCTCACAGATTCAGTACTGAGACTGGTGGTTGGCACCTAATAGGCACTCTGTAAATATTTCTGGAATGAATTAATGAATTGGAAGTCAGAAGACATGGATTTGAGTCCTGAGTCTGTTCCTGGTTATGTGCCCTTGGACAAGTTACTTCGGTTAGTGAGTCATATTTTTCTCATATGTATAATGAGAATTATAATCCTTTTTTTGCCTATAGGGGCAATGTGCAATAGTACCGTAGCTACTACCCACATTTGACTAATGAGCACTTGAAATATGGCTAATGTAACTGAGGAACTGAATTTATAATTTAATTTTTTAAAGATTTTATTTGTCAGAGAGCACAAGCAGGGGGAGCGGCAGGCAGAGGGAGAAGCACGTTCCCTGCTGAGCGAGGAGCCTGATGCAGGACTCAATCCCAGGACCTGAGCCGAAGGCAGATGCTTAACTGACTGAGCCACCCACGCGTCCCTATAATTTGAGTATTATTAATACTCAACTTAGTTCTTGGAAAAGTGTATTTAGCATAACTTTAATTTGTAAATCTACTTTTATAACCATGAATTTTATGGAATTTAAATGCAGATTAGGTATTCTAATGAAAATTTAATACTTGAATTAATATGTGCTGCAAGTATGAAATAGCAGATGTCAGAAACTTAGTACAAAAACAGTCTCTTTAATAATTTTTATAGGAGTAAATGTTGAAATATATTTTGGATCTATTGGGTAAAATAATATTAAAGTTAATTTTGCCTTTTTTTTTTTTTTACCTTTTTTAATATGGCTACTAGAAAATTTAAAATTATGTTTGTGGTTTGCATTACATTTCTCTTGGACAGTGCTGACTTTAGAGAATTGTTTTGAGAGTCAGTAAAATATATGAACTGTTTTGTAAGCTACAAAAGCAGTATTTTTATTATGCTTGTTGGGCAGACATGGTAGGCTTCGAGCCATCAGAAGTAAACACATACAACCCTCCAAGATTTTCAGATATTTATCGCTTTAGTTTACTTTTCTTAGAGGAAGAAGTGAAAAGAGGAATATGTGGCTTAAACATGGTAATAAAAGTGAACACTATAGAACCTGATTAAGCAAGGATCTAGAACAAATTGCTACTTAACTTGAACTATTTTCGCCTAGGGTATCACTTAAATAACAGTAACTTTGACTTGAACATTTATCATTAAGTTGTTGGGCTTTTATTTCTGCCAGCATTTCAGTGAGATGAGAGGATAGTTGAAGTAGAAAAATGAAAAAAGCTTAAACTTAAATAATTATGGTATTCATGCTTTAGTATGCTTAAAGTGGGTAATGTGCAAATGCTTCAAACAGAATATGGACTGTGGTACTTGACCATACCTGGGAGAATAATTGCATTAAAAATGTATTATGTAATTTCATGGCTAAGAACAGTGCCATCTAGTTTTATACTTACAGAGGAAGGAAGATCTATGAACCTCCTCGGTATATGAGCGTAAACCAAGCAGCCCAGCAACTTCTGGAGATTGTTCAGAATCAACGAATACGAGGAGAAGAACCAGGTACTCAAGGCCCTAAAAGGGTTCTCATATTCCCTACTGCCGCATTAAGATATGTACATGATGCAACTTCACACACACACACCCCACCACCACCACCACCACCACCAAGGAAGCAAGGGTCAGTGTGTTTGCATTGTACTTTTTCTTGTCATTTTTTAAATCAATTTTAACTTAAATTTCATAGGCTGAAAGTTGTACTGAAGGAAAAATAATGGAATTCCTCCTAGGAAAATTAATACCATTCCAGAAAGTGAGGATTTTTCACAAATTAACTGTAAATCAGATTTTATGTAAATATGTTAATATGTAAGTATTTAGGTAAAATGCAGAACTTCCTTTTTAGCCTTAATCTGTGTATGGTGAGATCTGTCCTGCAAAAAATACACTTATTCTGCTTTTTCTCTTTCACAACACTGAGACCAAGGATAGTCTTCTTCAGGATAAGAAGAAGAGAATTTATCTTTATAGTCTTAACACTTTGCCGCAAATGTGTACTGTGGACTTGGGAGGACAATTACACTCCTTAATTATCACAGGAGACAGCATGCATCTACTGGAGATGGAGATAACTAAGTCTGTTTTCCGTACCAGACTGTATGTGGTATATAATGAAGTGTTGGTCATCAGTAAATCTTTATTGAGAAGTTCTTCAATGAAACTGTCATTCTGTTATAAGGTGCTGACTGCCTTTGAGTACCTATCTCTTGATGGAAAAAGATACATGAAGAGATTCTTAATGACTGTTGCTGATTTTTTCTCATTAGTAGGCCTTGTTAAAGTCATGAAACAAATAATTTGCAAGGGTGTTCCATATTCATAATTTTGTGCACTTAAGCCTAAACTTGCATGCCTGCTTGTTCTTGTAATATCATTTGCCCCATTTTGATCATGTTCCATTGGGACAGCTTTCCCAAGTAAAAACCATCAGAAGGTTGGTACTTAAAAGCATAAGTAATGTCATAGCCTGTTATTTGTTCAGGGCTCTGTAGTTTACTAAATTCTTTCATGTCTGTTATCTTATCCCTTATAACCACCATTTAAGAAAGATAGTATTCTTGTTTTAAAAATGAAAAAACTAAAGTTTGACATAGCTGATTAGATGGCTAAGCAAAAAATCAAATCTGTGTATTTATCTCATAATCCCCTTGTTTTTCTAATTTATCTTGGTCAGTGTGAACATATCTCAAGCAACTTATTGAAAATACAGGCAGGTAGTAAACACTGTTCACTCAGAAGCTGTTTAAAGACAAATGCTATGCAATCATAAAGAGTATGGATATACGTAATTCTTTTATCAAGTCCTGAAAACTTAAATGAGGGCAAGCCTTTAGAATTCTGAAAGAGTAAAGTTAGGAAGTACCACTTTACACGTCAGGTAGTTCATATAATTTAGAAAAGCGTTAGATAAATCAATAGATAATTGGTCTGTAATGATTTAAGGAGATTTAAGATATTTGGGGCTTCTTTAAATGTACTTTTTGTACTAATGTTAGTTTAAATGTTGGACAGGATAATGCATTTGCTGAATTGAACGGCAGTGTTTTTTTCTTCTCTTAATAGCAGTCACTGAGAAGACACTCTGTGTTGGCTTAGCCAGGGTTGGAGCCGAAGACCAGAAAGTTGCAGCAGGCACTTTGCAGCAGATGTGTGCTGTGGACTTGGGAGGACCATTACACTCCTTAATTATCACAGGAGATAGCATGCATCCACTGGAGATGGAGATGCTAAGTCTGTTTTCCATACCAGAAAATAGCTCAGAATCCTGTTGATGAACTTCATGAACATAGACATTTTCTATTGTTAGATACTAATTTCAGTCATATATGCATGTACACATACTGTAAAATGAACAGTTCTTTTGGTTTACCTAATAATTATAAAGCAAGTGACCAAGAAGAAAGATGTTGATTCAACAATACTTGGTTTCCTGTGGCAGTGAGTTTTTTTTTTTTTTTCCCTAGAACATCATCAGTTATTGCTGTATTAGTAGTTTTTCAGGATAAACACACATGGAGCAGACCAAGCCTGAAAACTTGCAGAGACATTCATAAACAGAGTTGTTTAAAAGCAGTTTTTACTTATGAAATGAGTTTATACAACGTGGAACTTTCTTAAAAAGTCAGCTGTCCTGGGCACCTGGGTGGCTCAGTTGGTTAAGCGACTGCCTTCGGCTCAGGTCATGATCCTGGAGTCCCGGGATCGAGTCCCGCATCGGGCTCCCTGCTCAGCGGGGAGTCTGCTTCTCCCTCTGATCCTCTTCCCTCTCATGCTCTCTATCTCTCATTCTCTCTCTCTCAAATAAATAAATAAAATCTTTAAAAAAAAAATTTAAAAAAAGTCAGCTGTCCTGACCGTAAGATGAGTTGTCCTGGTAGCAGTTGGTATTACTGCATATAAGCAGAGGTGGGAAGAATAAGCCCCACCCAACAGTCCTACTTACTTAAAGATCAGCTGAGCACATGCCACAAAATGACATCCTTCTGAATTGCCTTGTTTTGTTTAGCTGACATCCTAATTATGTGGTTCATATTCTGCTGTATTTTGGAGGTTATATAATTGTTGAATTATAAATGTTCAGCCAGCCATGTACAGTTGCTGTTTGGTTTTACATAGCATCTTTCACATCCAACTTGACAAATGGAAAACTTACTACAAAATACAGTTTTAAAAAATTTAAATTTGGAGGCAGTGTAACCCACCAAACCCTCAAGATTTGTCATATCACTTAGCTCAGTTGATATACCACTGTATGTATGCATTAGTCACATTCTTTCTCCCAGTTGTAAATAGCACTCCATTTATTATATTTCATGACTGTAGAGTCTTATACTTTTTGGTAGTTCCATAACAGAAATAGCTTTGCTATATGCTAGTTTAGTTGGTCTAACTTTAACTATTTCCGTGGCTTAATCAACCATAGCTTAAATTTCGTTAAATTCATTGGAAGTTGAATGTACACTTTCCTACTTCTGGGGAGCAATGATTAACAAGAAATCATTTTGACATTTTTCTTTTCTTTTCTTTTTTAAGTAGTCTCCATGGCCAGCATGAAGCCCAACACAGGGCTTGAACTAATGACCCTGAGATCAAGAGCTGAGCTGAAATTAAGAGTCGGAGACTCAACCAGGCGCCTTGACTTATTTCATTTGAGATAAAAGATACTTCATATATATATGAAATACTCCATTTTTAGTCTGTTACACAAAAGGGGAGAGAGCCAAGGACATTTAAGTGCTAATTCTGTGTTGTTTTTTCTGAAGCTTTAAAGCAAGCATTGAATAATTATTATAAAAAGAAAGACTTCTACCTTTGGTAGTGGTGGAGTAGCTTGTAATGTACAAGCCCTCCCAATTAATAAATGCTGGACAAATATAACTGTCTAAAGATACTGGGGGGAATGACCAAAAGCAGGCTGAGACTTAGGCTTATGTATATATATAGCTTTTTCCCTCAGGACATTTCTCAAGTCTGTCCGGTAAGGGATGGCTAGAACTCAAGAGAAGGTTGCAGTCTTACTGGTTTGAGGGGTCAGAGAAGTTGGGGGCTGCTAGGGGACCTGTATATTGAGGAGGAAATTCTAGAAATGAAGGTGGCACTGAAGGAGAAGCCAACCTTCCAATCTACATATAAATCTCTTAACTCTTTGGCTAACTCCTGAATTGCGCTTGTACAGGGAAGTCTCCATGAACCTGGTGGAAAGCCAGAGCTGGAAGGCTGAAAAATCTGAGCAGAGCTTGTTGCTCTGTATTGCAAGAGAAAACAATTTCGAGTTTGAATCCTGACAAGTTAGAAGGCTTGGTAAGCATCTTAGGCTTTCTGTCAAATCCGTAGAATGGGGCGCCTGGGTGGCTCAGATGGTTAAGCATCTGCCTTCGGCTCAGGTCATGATCCCAGAGTCCTGGGATCGAGTCCCACATCAGGCGCCCTGCTCCTTGGGAGCCTGCTTCTCCCTCTGCCTCTCTTTCTCTCTCTCTCTCTCTCATGAATAAATAAAATCTTAAAAAAAAAAATCCGTAGAATGGCCATGTATTAGAAAACACTATGCCCAGGACTAAGGATTTGCATTGAAACTAAAGACAAAACCTTTAATGTAATATAAAATCAATCCTCCATAAAGTTAAGTGAGTAGTCAATAATTTAACTGCCTATTGGAATATATCATAACACTTCCAGGGCGTGATAAAATGAGTCTCTTTAGCATATCAACAATGACTAGAATATAACACATTCAAAGAAACAGGAAAATGTGATTTATAGTCAAAAGCAGGGGAAAAAACACAGTAGAAAGAGATCCTAACATAATCCAGATCTTGGAATTAGATGGGGATTTTAAAGCAGTTAGTAGAACTAGTCTCAAAGATGAAAAGGAAAAATGGTTGTAATGAATGTATATAGATGGGTGCTGTCAGAGAAATGGAAACAAAAACCCAAATGGTTGGACTTAACAGCAGAGTGCAGACGGATAGAAATTACCCTATCTGAAGAATAAAGAATAAAAAAAGGAGGGAAGAAAAAAAAGCACGGAGCCTCAAAGCCACATGGGGTGATATGCAGCAGTTCAGTGCATATGTAACTGGATTTCCAGAAGGAGAAGAGAGAGAAAATAGGGCAGAAAAAAGATGAGTTAAGTAAAGGTCAAAATTTTTCCCAAGTTTGGTGAAACTAAATACGTAGATCCAGTATGCTCAGTGAACTCTAAGCAGAATAAATACAGAGAAAACACCTAAGACATCGTAGTTAAAACTGATGAGAACCAAAGATAGGAGAAAATCTTAAAAGCCACCATGAGTGGTAATAGGGAACCCACTACATACAGGGAGCAATAAATGTTGGCTGCTTCACCTCAGAAACAATGGAGGTCATGAGACAGGAAGAGAGCTATAAAGTACTGAAATTAAAAAGCAAAGCCAACCAAACCCTACCAATCTATATCCAGTAAAAACGTCCTTTAAAAATGAAAGCAAATAAAACAGTCTTAATAAAAATAGAATTTGTCACTAGCAGACCTATAAGGAAAGCTGAGGGAGCATTTTTAGGCTGAACGTAAAAGACATTAGATGGAAGGAAATAGTATGTGAGTATAAAAGAATTTTTTCTTAATGTTTTTAAAAGATAACTGAATTTAGCATGGTATACTGGTGTATAGTTAGATTTCAAAAATAATACAAGTTCCAGGGGTTAAAGGGTATTATACAGTGTCAGTTCTTACATTTTACTTAAACCGGTGGAATACTGGGATGCCTGGGTGTCTCAGTCGGTTACCAAGCGGCTCCCTTCGGCTCAGGTCACAATCCCAGGGTCCTGGGATGGAGCCCCGCATCAGGCTCCCTGCTCAGCGGGAAGTCTGCTTCTCCCTCTCCCTCTGCCCGCTGCTTCCCCTGCTTGTGCTCTCTCTGTCAAATAAAATCTTAAAAAAAAATAAAGTGGTGGAATACTAACTATAGACTGAAAAGGTTATGTATGTTATGTATTGAAATCCCTTGGCAACTGCTATAAAAAAATAAGGCAGAAGTAAAAAAAAAATTAGAGGAATTAAAATTGGATACTGAAGGAGATTTATCCAAAAAAGGCAGGAAAGCAGGAAATATAGGTAAAAAATATATAGGACAGATAGCAAAATGGTAGGCCTAAATTCAACCCAACTAGTAATTACTTAAATGTAAATCAAACACTCCAATTAAAAACTAGATTTTTTTTAAAGGGCCAACTATATGTTGTCTACAAGAGTTAAACTTTAAAGACACAACATGAGGAAAAATAGAACATACAAACTGTAAGCATAAGAAAACAAGTGGCTATATTAATATAAGACAAAATAGACTTTAAAAGAGTACACTGGAGATAGACTTTCATAAAAAAGGGATAGTTCATCAAGAAGATATAATCCTAAATGTGTCTTCATTGAATACCAGCTTCAAAATACACAAGGCAAAAACTGACAAAGGAGGTACAGACAAGTCTACAATCAGTTGAGGATTTTAATGAACCTCTTAGCAACTGATAAACTAACAAAAATATTGATTTGAACAAAAAGCATTTGGACCAAACTGATACTGGTAGATCACTACATGCAATAGTGGTGGAATAGACATTTTCAAGCATGTATGAAACGTTCAGCAAAGTAGACCATATGCTTGGCTATTAACCACAATTTATCACTAACAAAAAGGTGTCTAGAAAAGTCTTAAATATTTGGGAATAAAACATTTAACTGAATAAAAAAAACTGAAAATTTGTGGAATGCAGATGAAACAGTGCCTAGAAATTTATAGCTTTAGAAGCTTATATTAGAAACGAAGGAAGTTTTAAAATCAATGATCTGGGCGCCTGGGTGGCTCAGTTGTTAAGAGTCTGCCTTCGGCTCAGGTCATGATCCCAGGATCCTGGGATTGAGCCCCACATCAGGTTCCCTGCTCTGCGGGAAGCCTGCTTCTCCCTCTCCCACTCCCCCTGCTTGTGTTCCTTCTCTCGCTGTGTCTCTCTCTGTCAAATAAATGAATAAAATCTTTTAAAAAAAATAAAATCAATGATCTGTATCCATCTTAGCTAGAAAAAAAGAAAAGCGTATAAAAACTAGGAAGGAAATACTGAATATCACAGCAGAAATCAGTGAAATAGAAAATGGACAATAAAATTAAAGCCAATGGAATGTCAATTTTTTTTTTTTTTTTGGAATGTCAATTTTAAAGGCTAACAATGGTAACATTTGCAAGGATATGGAGTAACTGAAATTTGCCTGCTGTTGGTAGGAATATAAATTGGCACAACTACTTTGGAAAGTAGTTTTAGTTTCCTATAAATTAAATCCTGTGAACTAGCAAGATCAGTT